ACAACTTTTATTTGCCGTACTCGCCTTAACTGTTAGCTCAGGTTAATCTCGCCCCCCTCCGACGTAAGCGTGACGTATGCGGTTCTTGGTTCTCGACGGACAACTTTTTGGTGCTCGAAACAAACCGGATTCCGGAGCTTAGAGGCTGCTCCGCTGCGGGGTGAACAGGAAAAAACGGTGCTTTTCAAGCTCCAGCTCCGAACCGGCCCTGAAACACCGTTGGTGTGAAAGGGGTATAATGGCGCGTTTCCACTACAGCCCGCAGCCCGGTTTAAGAGGGCTGTGACGTCAGCGGCCCGTCTTTGGTTGCGTTTCCACTTGGCCTAGTACCGGCCGGCGGGTCCTAATTCACAGTTTTTCTGGCCTCATAAAATCGTGGGGCCAGGGCCAGAGACAACGAGGCTGAGTCGGGCTGAGTATGCTAAACTAGAGAGAGCGTCGCTGGCAAGGGGGCAACAACTACAACAAGATGGACATATTTGACCGTGATTTAATTGTAATACACGTTTCAAAATGATGCCGAAGTAACAACATACTGATACCGGTTAGTAAAAACCATGAATTAATGCTTTGTCAAGTCTGCAGACAGACGGCAGGGGAAAAACCTTTTAAAATGCTTGTTTTCTAGATGGAGATTGGCTAAGCTAACGCAGTATATGCCCCGACCGTCCACACTCACAACAACGGCCTATACAGACATAAATAAAGCAGCGACTGTATTCGCCATGACACAGGCAGTCTGTGGTTTGTACTTGTTTAACTTTTGTCTAGTTTCTGAACATATATGAGGAGCTGTGAGCTCTGAGTGCTAACAGCTAACGGCTGTGTTGTTTTTCTGGGGTCCTCTGAAGATCACGTCACGGCTCCGCCTACACTGCGTTACTATAGATACTGCCCCAGTTCCTAAACTGTAATGGAAATGCGCCATAAAGTGAACCAGTCCTAACGAGGCCCAGCCATACCGAGCGGGGCCGAGCGAGGCCGTGTAGTGGAAACGCGGCATTAGAGTGATGTTTGGAGACTCACCTTCAGGGGGGGAGGGTCAGCAGGTTGAAGCAGCAGGGTTGTAGTTTCCACTTTTCTCTCCTGTAGCTGAACTCAGCCGAAGTTGTTAGTTTGGTCTGAAGGTGAATGTGATCGTCTGTTTTTCAGTCCGTCTGTCTCTCTGCAGTGAGGGAGAATAACAAACTGTTTCCTGGTTTATCTCAGGTGAGTCAGGTGAGGGAGGAGCTCTGTCACGCCTCCTCTGCTGAACTCTGTTCACTCTCATGTAACTCAGGGAGTGTCTCAGTCTAAAGTGCGGATTTATTGCTGGAATAAAGGTTATAGTGGGTGAGTTACATTATTAACTAAGATGTTGTTAAAGAGGTGAAGTATGCTCCCATAGTGGGAAGGTTTCACAAACCAAACTCAAATATCTGTCAAGTATATGGCATCAGTTTAAAACATTGAACCCATTTATCTCTAAGAACCTGTCAACACTCCATCAACAAATTATCCTGGACTTCATCACAATGGCAGATTTCATAATGATGTTATTCATACTAACACATAATCAGCCATGTAAAGAAAACCATTCATTTAGAGAATTAGCTATCGTTATGCTATAGACCAGGGGTCTGCACCGCTGCCAGAGCACTTCTCCCCGTTACCTCCAGAAGGAAGCCATGATACAGAATTAAACAATCGACTGCCTGTTTTTCCTGGCCTAGGACAGGTTCCTTGAACACAACACGAGCGTAACGTGTCATTTTACATGATGCCGTTTAATTATAATAAAGGGCGGTGCCGGTGTCAGTACCATGGGTGTTTCTCAATCGCGAGTACGCTTGCTTGGTAGCACATGTCTTCCGAGTATCTTGCTTCAGAAGTATGTAGTGTCTCTACTTTAAAGAGTCCTCTCCTGCTGATGTTCAGGTGTATATCAGTATGTAGTGTCTCTACTTTAAAGAGTCCTCTCCTGCTGATGTTCAGGTGTATATCAGTATGTAGTGTCTCTACTTTAAAGAGTCCTCTCCTGCTGATGTTCAGGTGTATATCAGTATGTAGTGTCTCTACTTTAAAGAGTCCTCTCCTGATGATGTTCAGGTGTATATCAGTACGTAGTGTCTCTACTTTAAAGAGTCCTCTCCTGCTGATGTTCAGGTATATATCAGTATGTAGTGTCTCTACTTTAAAGAGTCCTCTCCTGCTGATGTTCAGGTGTATATCAGTATGTAGTGTATCTACTTTAAAGAGTCCTCTCCTGCTGATGTTCAGGTGTATATCAGTATGTAGTGTCTCTACTTTAAAGAGTCCTCTCCTGATGATGTTCAGGTGTATATCAGTACGTAGTGTCTCTACTTTAAAGAGTCCTCTCCTGCTGATGTTCAGGTGTATATCAGTCTGTAGTGTCTCTACTTTAAAGAGTCCTCTCCTGCTGATGTTCAGGTGTATATCAGTATGTAGTGTCTCTACTTTAAAGAGTCCTCTCCTGCTGATGTTCAGGTGTATATCAGTATGTAGTGTCTCTACTTTAAAGAGTCCTCTCCTGATGATGTTCAGGTGTATATCAGTACGTAGTGTCTCTACTTTAAAGAGTCCTCTCCTGCTGATGTTCAGGTGTATATCAGTCTGTAGTGTCTCTACTTTAAAGAGTCCTCTCCTGCTGATGTTCAGGTGTATATCAGTATGTAGTGTATCTACTTTAAAGAGTCCTCTCCTGCTGATGTTCAGGTTGTATATCAGTATGTAGTGTCTCTACTTTAAAGAGTCCTCTCCTGATGATGTTCAGGTGTATATCAGTACGTAGTGTCTCTACTTTAAAGAGTCCTCTCCTGCTGATGTTCAGGTGTATATCAGTCTGTAGTGTCTCTACTTTAAAGAGTCCTCTCCTGCTGATGTTCAGGTGTATATCAGTATGTAGTGTCTCTACTTTAAAGAGTCCTCTCCTGCTGATGTTCAGGTGTATATCAGTATGTAGTGTCTCTACTTTAAAGAGTCCTCTCCTGCTGATGTTCAGGTGTATATCAGTATGTAGTGTCTCTACTTTAAAGAGTCCTCTCCTGCTGATGTTCAGGTGTATATCAGTATGTAGTGTCTCTACTTTAAAGAGTCCTCTCCTGCTGTAGTTCAGGTGTATATCAGTATGTAGTGTCTCTACTTTAAAGAGTCCTCTCCTGCTGTAGTTCAGGTGTATATCAGTATGTAGTGTCTCTACTTTAAAGAGTCCTCTCCTGCTGTAGTTCAGGTGTATATCAGTATGTAGTGTCTCTACTTTAAAGAGTCCTCTCCTGCTGATGTTCAGGTGTGTCATTTGTTAGACGCTTTTATCCAAAGCGACTAGCATACAGTCAGTACTGTGGACAATCCCCACAGGAGCAATTTGGGGTGAAGTGTGTTGCCCAGGGACACAACGACATGCTGACTGCAGTGGGACTCAAACTTGCTACCCCCTGATTTGAAGTCCAGCACACTACCCACTGAGCCACAGCCTCCCAACAAGCACAAAACACAACACGCTACCTAACAGGAAAGTGTCCTAAATGTTGTCTACATTTTCTGTTTTGCATGCTGTAGCCATCCATAGTTATGTTAATATAAACAGTTTTCTTTACATACAGTTTTTGATTCAATTCCATCAAAGTATGATAATGTCATTGAGTCTTTGTATAGTTTGAGGATGTTTAGAGGGAGTTTGAGAAAAGGTTATGAGGTCAAAGAGACACTATCATTTATCTGGATGAAAACATAAGACTTTAGCTGCAAACACTCTCTCCTCTCCTGCTTTCGGACTAGTTTGTATGTAAGGCTGACCTATTTAGCTACATTGCTGTGTGTGTGTGTGTGTGTGTGTGTGTGTGTGTGTGTGTGTGTGTGTGTGTGTGTGTGTGTGTGTGTGTGTGTGTGTGTGTGTGTGTGTGTGTGTGTGTGTGTTGGAGGTAGTGTTTGGCAGGCAGACAGTGTAGAAGCTCTGTGAGGAAGTTGATTTGCAGCCAGAGTTACTAACAAGGATTCCCTCTGTGTTCTGTGTATGCATATTCCTACATATATTTGTGCGTGTGTGAATACAGTTGTGAGTTGTGTAATGGTATAACTGTGTGACGCCCACTGAGATGCAGTGCAGAATCTCGTTAGCCTTGTTTTGGCTTCAGGACAGAAACGTTGTCACACAACAGTGAACGGATTATTAACGACTCGTTTATCTTCGGGAACGCCCCGAGATTTTACCTCCGGAAACACACACTCATCATCCTGGAGGAAAACACTCTGCAGCTCGGGAGTGTGTTCATGTGACGGAGTGTGTGACTGCATGCAAAGATGGTGTGTGTGTGTGTGTGTGTGTGTGTGTGTGTGTGTGTGTGTGTGTGTGTGTGTGTGTGTGTGTGTGTGTGTGTGTGTGTGTGTGTGTGAGTGTGTGTGTGTGTGTGTGCGTGTGGAATCCTCCCAGCTGCTGTTTCACTTAAGGAGCTCAGTGTGAGTCATACCCACATGAAGAAGAGATGGCATTAGAATTAGAATACACATTAATATACCAATTTACTATTAAAGAAAGTTTAAAACAATATCATGTGTGCAAAGAAGTTACAGTGTTTAATACAAATCTAAATGCAGTGAGGTGGAGGATGAGTACAAATTGTTCAGGGTTATTTGAAATGGAAAATCACACATTCATTACATTTAAACTACAATAAAATAACACTTTTCTATGTAACAGATATATATATATATTGTTGATAAAGATATTTCACTGGCACTACCGTCCAAGTGTTTTTCCCAGTGAAGTATTTTTTGAAATGCATTCTGAGTTAAAATAGTAATTTTCTATATCTTCAAAACTGAGTTAACATTAAGCTGTCTTTGGCTCTTTTCTGCTGTAACAAATGCAAATGCCCCGCTGTGGGACGAATAAAGGTATTCTGATTCTGATTGAACCTTTTCTATGAAACATGTTTTGCCCAGTGAAGTATTTTTTAAATGCATTCTGGGTTAAAATACTAATTTAACCTTTTTTCCTCCAGGGAAGTCCCACCTGGCCATCGTGCAGCGCGTCAACAACGAGGGCGAGGGAGACCCTTTCTACGAGGTGCTGGGCATCGTGACCCTGGAGGACGTCATCGAGGAGATCATCAAGTCAGAGATCCTGGACGAGACAGACCTCTACAGTATGTACACACACACACACACACACACACACACACACACACACACACACACACACACACACACACACACACACACACACACACACACACACACACACAGCTCCCCTTCCTGATAAAAGTTGTGCAAATGCAATATAAATATACTCATTCGTGTGTGTGTGTGTGTGTGTGTGTGTGTGTGTGTGTGTGTGTGTGTGTGTGTGTGTGTGTGTGTGTGTGTGTGTGGTGTGTGTGTGGTGTGTGTGTGTGTGTGTGTGTGTGTGTGTGTGTGTGTGTGTGTGTGTGTGTGTGTGTGTGTTATGTGTGTGTGTGTGTGTGTGTGTGTGTGTGTGTGTGTGTGTGTGTGTGTGTGTGTGTGTTCTGTCAGCTGATAACCGTACTAAGCGGCGTGTTTCTCACCATGAGAGGAAGCAGCAGGACTTCTCCATCTTCAAGCTGTCGGAGAACGAGATGAAAGTGAACATTTCTCCTCAGCTGCTCATGGCCACACACCGCTTCCTGTCCACAGGTAACAGCCAATCAGATCGCTGCTCTGTGCTTCCTGTCCACAGGTAACAGCCAATCAGATCGCTGCTCTGTGTCAGTGATTACTTTGTGGATAAACACTTCCTCATAGAGAGACATTTGAATTGAGGGTTTTCTTAAATCTCATAGTCTTGGTTCTTTAAGGGATTAAAATGTTAGCTTTTGGTTTAGAAATGACTGCTTGGTAGATTAGAGTCAGTTTTAAGGCCTGAGTTTGATAAAAACACCAAATTCAGATGTCGTAAAATCCTGATGGAAATGCATATTTATATATGAACTATATGCAATCTTAATTTTCCATATCAGTATAACAGAGACCTGGTTAAAGATTTAAAAAGTTGCCGATCTTGCAAAAAAGTTTACAATTTCTGTTTCTGTCACATTTCTGTAGGATTTGAACATTTGTTTTAAGGAAGTTAGGACAGACAATATTGTGCCATAAAAGCATTTTCTCTCCTCCCTCCTGTAGAGGTGGAGCCCTTCAAACCCGCTCACATCTCAGAGAAGATCCTGCTGAGGCTGATCAAACACCCGAGCGTCGTTCAGGAACTCAAGTTCGACGAGAAGAACAAACGATCGCCGCATCACTTCCTGTTCCAGCGCAACAAACCTGTGGACCACTTCATCCTCGTGCTGCAGGTACGTTTTATTCTGCAGTAAAACCATGTTGCTGTTGTTTCTCAGACAGTTTCTGATCAAACGCTCTGTGTTTCACCGTCAGGGTCGAGTGGAGGTGGAGTTCGGAAAGGAGGCGCTGAAGTTTGAGAACGGAGCTTTCTCTTACTTTGGGGTTCCCTCCATCATGCCAACAGGTAGAAATCACACACTGATGTCTTTATATTCTTACGGGACACTTTCCGATTACTGCTCCCTGATATCCAAACAAATCCAACAAACAACACCACAGACTTTACCTGCAAAAAAACGATTCCCAATTTTAATCAAAACGTAAAACTTTAACTTTTGTTTAATATCTTTATAAGAGAAATGGCACGTGTAAAAAGAAAACAATGTGTTTGTACCACTGAGCAATGCCGTAATAATAGTAATAAAAGCATTTCATTGCATCAATGCAAAGAAAGGACTCTTAACTGGATCATTGAACCCTGCGTAAGATGCGCTAACTGGTGCCTCAGCGGCTGTTTTACTTGAAGGTGTAAACATACTATTCAACGTTCAAATCCACAAGAAATGTAGAAAAGCAAAACCAGAGAAAACCCAAACTCAAGAAAGTAAACATTTGAAATGAATAACATTTTGAAGAAAGAAGAAAATAAGGGACAGGGTGTCCAGAGATTAAAAAGAGTTCGGAAATGTTTAAAAATAAAGATTACTTAATGCCACTTAAAGTGTACCTATCATGCTATATTTGAATAATATAGTGTAGGACCATACCTATATAAGGCATATTTATACTTTTTTTTTTTTCAAAATACCAAACAGATCATGCATTTTAGCCATGCCTCATTTTGCTCAATTTGACAATTTCTAGCTCTGTTTTAGCAAGGGCAGATTCTGTGAGAACAGCACCACCTACTGGCCTGGCATATGTACTACAGCGTCTCCAGCGCTTTCGAACGGTAATGGCCGTGGCTGTCTCCTCCTGATTGGTGGAGTTGGCCCAATAGCCGTAGCGCCACCGTCCTGACGTCAGGACAGTGTTCAAATCTGGATCAGTTTTTATCAGATCCGTTGCAGCCCCTTTTTTAGAGATTTGGGTATGGAGGAAAATAGAGAGGGTTGTGTTTTCTGACACTTGGTGAGTTCCCTGGAACACCGGGGACACATATTCATGTATAAAAGACGTACAAAAGTGCATTTTGCATGATAGGTCCCCTTTAATATAAAAATCTTAATTTAGCTCCTAAAGCACATGTGTCAAACTCAAGGCCCGGGGGCCAAATCCGGCCCTTGGTGGATTTAATTTCGGCCCGTAGGATAATTTCTAATTACTATTAGATCTGGCCCGCCGGTATATTGCACGCACACCTTCACTCAATCCTGAGGGTCTCCTCAGCTCAGAGCCTGAGCCCAAACATTGATGACCTTGCACCCAAGATGAGATGCCAAGTATCTGGCTTGAACTAGCATCACAGAGCAGCAAACTGAGTTTACATGGATGTTTCCTTTTGCACTTGGTTTTTTCTTTGAGGGAAATATAGTTTTGTTGAAGCTGTTGTTGTCCTGTGGAAAAATGTAATCATAAGAAATGACTCTGGAAAAGCTGCAGATAGAGCCATAAGAAATGAATGCAACTGATTATTTAATGTTTAATGTTGAGACAACAGGATAGGCAATAATTTAAGCTTTGTTAGTTCCAGGTTTAATATGTGCAATAAGTTCATTTCAATAAGTTTTGCAATAAACATTGAACCAGTCCGGCCCTCGACTAGCACCCATTTTGTAATGTTGGCACACTGTGTATTTGAGTTTGACACCCCTGCCCTAAAGTGACCGAATGTCCCAAAAATGTGCTTGTTTTTAATTTCTCACAAGTAGAGAGATTAGTTTATTTCTTTATGATTTTGGCCGCTACAGTCATAGTTTCAAAACAATAAAATAATCTATAAAACAACAATACTGTAGACTCTTACAGCTGCTGGCCTGAACATACTGTAGTGTTTGTTTTGTAAATGTGCACAAAGAGCAAGACTAAAAACCCTGATCAGCAAACTCTCCAAAAAACTGCAGTTTAAACAGAAGTCATTTCCCTGCCAAGAAATAAAGGCATGGTTCATCAGGTGAAGGGTGATTTTGGCAGCCTCCCTGAGCCCACCTCATGATAGGATAGGAAGTGCTCAGTGAATTATGTACAGGTTTGTCCCCCCTGCAGTGCACAGATCCCCCTCCCGCAGCAGTGGTCTGGACCGCTCTGAAACCATGCTGAATGGAGGCAGCTCGAGCCAACTGAGCGGCGGGGGGAACGTCTACCTGCCGGATTATTCTGTCCGACAGCTCACAGCCCTGCAGGTCATCAAGGTAACTCCTGTTGTTACATTTAACTGACACTTTCACACACAGATGCTATCAACCCTGAGGATACATTAACACGTGACGCGCCTCATCCCTCTTACAACCAACCAATCACATTCTCCTAAACATGCCGCTCTACTTAAGCTGCCAGATCTGCTGCCTCTGCCTCGATAATGCTGCTGCTGCTGCTGCTTCCATGATGCTGCTGCTGCTGCTGCTACTTCCATGATGCTGCTGCTCGCTGCCCCACCACCCCCAGCTTCAACCCCAGCATCCACCTGTAGGCTCGGGGGATAGTTATCTTATCATCACTCCATCTTCTATGTACATCTGTGGAGTGATGAGGCCCGAGCCTAGACGCCAAACTCAAACTATATGCTGCTTCTAATACACATATCAAGTGTTGGGAAAATACTGAATGTTCTTTCTATATCAGAGTAGCACGTGATAACAGAGGCCCTACGTAGCTGTGTACGTAGCCGGATGTTTGACTACATGGATGACGCTCATGAGACACTGTGATGGAGTTATGATAGCTATGCTCCTAAGATTGGCATGATGACACAGAATCTAGAGAGATAGGCATATGACTGTCATGTGTATTGCTTACGCAGGCCTTAGCTAATCTGAACTAATGTCAGAATACTGCTTTGAACCAGTATTCTTCCATCTTGTTGACTGTAACACCCTCTCTTGTATATAAGCATATCAAGGACTCTACTCTGGGAACTATTTGTCCCACGCAGCTCTGTGTGTGATGACTACTTCCATTCTTGCAAGGATAATAAAGACATGTATGCTGATATTGAAGACCAAGCCAGTGACGAGTGATATTTTTCTAACATCAAGAAACACTTGAGTCGTCTGACTGAAATACCCATAATCCTTTGCTCCTGTGTGTCAGATAACCCGGAGCCACTACCAGAACGCGATGACAGCCTCTCGGATGGACAGCTCCCCTCAGACTCCAGATGCAGACGCCTGCCTGGCAGAGGACGTCTCCCCGACCCCAGGACCTCCTGCTGGGCCTCGAGATCACAGCAGCAGCACCCCCTCCTCCTCCACCCCCTCCACCCTGATGCCCCCCCCCTCCACCCTCATGCCCCCCCCCAGGGAGCACTACAGACCCAGCTCAGCGAGGGCCAGAGGGCAGCAGTCCGGCGTCACACCCTCCACCTCGCTGCTGAACGAGAAGAACCGCATCGTCCGTGAGTAACATCGTCTCTATCATATGCTTTTGGGGGGTTTTCTCTTTCTCTTAGGGTTTTATCCCCCCCCCCCCCACCCTGCCTGAAACGCCTCCATTGGACTTCTTTGTTTACGTATCATATCAGACATCAGACATTAGGAATCCTTCATTGGTCCAACAGGTGGGAGATGTGCAGTGTTACAGCACAAGTGTCATCGCAGGTGGAAAAGGCATGCGATGATAAATATATATAATAAATATGAGGGTTATTAGTGTTGAATTATGGGGGAAGTTACATTTTAAATGTTCTAGGGAGTGATATTAAGCAAGTACTGTTGAGATTGTTTAGCTAGGGCCATTTTTGGAAGGATATACTCTAGATTTAATACAATATACAACATTGATTGTCTTCATAGGGGAATTTGTCTTGACTCAAATGCTGCACACATGACATTTCGCCTCATCATAAAACTGACTACATAGTGGTAATAATAGAAAACAAACAGTATGTAAACAAGATATTTGAAAGAGGTCTTAAAAAATATAAACCTGTTATTTCATAAGCACTTTTTTGCAAACATATTTACATTTGACTGCAACTACTATACAAATGCTGACTGTGATATCTGTGCTAATGCACTGCAGCAGGGGCTCTCTGCATTTATTTTACTGCGCACTTTAATCAGTATTTGAATGCACCGCTGGGGGAGAACATCAACATTTAAAGCACTGAAGTTCATTACTTTGTTCAAAGAGCTGCACCAAGTCATGCTCCATGTGGAGATACACTGGGTGTGTGTGGACTCTAGGAACATTGATTATAGCTGGGATTGTCTTTGTAAGGAAATAGAAGGAAACATGTACAGGTTTGTTGATGCCTGATTGTATTTATTTATAAGAGCGTCTGTGTATATCCCTTGTCATTTAAACGTGGTTATATAGTCACTCGTTTTAACAAGATGTTGTTAGAGAAAAGTTGTTTGTTGTGAAAAAAAGTTGGATTTAAAATTAAATGTGTGAGCAGTTTGAAAGTTATTGGTTTACAAAAAGAAACTGTTGTCTTGATTTATTCATTTGTTTCCTGGCTTTAAATTAAATGATTTACAACCAGTTCAATGATTGTATATATATATATATATATAGGTATATACATATTTTTATACATATTTGTTATTGTATTCGCGATTGTGGGAAACGTTATTTCGTTATTTTCATGTGTGTTAATGTGTGTGTTTATGTGTGTGTTTATGTGTGTGTTAATGTGTGTGTTAATGTGTGTGTTTATGTGTGTGTTTATGTGTGTGTTTATGTGTGTGTTTATGTGTGTGTTAATGTATGTGTTAATGTGTGTGTTAATGTGTGTGTCTATGTGTGTGTCAATGTGTGTGTTAATGTGTGTGTTTATGTGTGTGTTAATGTGTGTGTTAATGTGTGTGTTTATGTGTGTGTTTATGTGTGTGTCTATGTGTGTGTCTATGTGTGTGTTAATGTGTGTGTTTATGTGTGTGTCAATGTGTGTGTTAATGTGTGTGTTAATGTGTGTGTTAATGTGTGTGTTAATGTGTGTGTTAATGTGTGTGTTAATGTGTGTGTCTATGTGTGTGTCAATGTGTGTGTTTATGTGTGTGTCAATGTGTGTGTTAATGTGTGTGTTAATGTGTGTGTTAATGTGTGTGTTAATGTGTGTGTTTATGTGTGTATTAATGTGTGTGTTAAGGTGTGTTAATGTGTGTGTTAATGCATGTGTTTATGCGTGTGTTAATGCGTGTGTTTATGTGTGTGTTTATGTGTGTGTTTATGTGTGTGTTATGTGTGTGTTTATGTGTGTGTTTATGTGTGTGTTATGTGTGTTAATGTGTGTTAATGTGTGTGTTTATGTGTGTGTCAATGTGTGTGTTAATGTGTGTGTTAATGTGTGTGTTAATGTGTGTGTTAATGTGTGTGTTAATGTGTGTGTTAATGTGTGTGTTAATGTGTGTGTTAATGTGTGTGTTTATGTGTGTGTTTATGTGTGTGTTAATGTTTGTGTCTATGTGTGTGTCAATGTGTGTGTCAATGCATGTGTTTATGTGTGTGTTAATGTGTGTGTTAATGTGTGTGTTAATGTGTGTGTTAATGTGTGTGTTAATGTGTGTGTTAATGTGTGTGTTTAATGCATGTGTTTATGCGTGTGTTAATGTGTGTGTTTATGTGTGTGTTTATGCGTGTGTTTATGTGTGTGTTTATGTGTGTGTTTATGTGTGTGTTTCTGTGTGTGTTTCTGTGTGTGTTAATGTGTGTGTTAATGTGTGTGTTAATGTATGTGTTTCTGCTGCAGGAAGCAAGTCGGACGGTCAGAAGAGTCCCAGTGATTCAGTGTTCCTCAGGATGGACGAGATCCCGTACATCAGAGAGGACAGATCTGAGGCGGACGCACACGATGGTAGGCTACATATTACATAACATGTCATTCAAAAAGGCTATATTATGCTTTTGGGGGTTTTCCCTTTCTCCTAGGGTTTTATTCCACTCCTTTGTTTACTTCCAGAACATGGTGACCATCACTTTGTCACACTCCTGCTCCTATTAGCTAGCGCCTTAACACATTGTACGTGATAGGCTAAGGGGCGGGACATCTCTAAGCGGTTGACCAATCAGAACAGAGCCGGCCAGCTAACCAATCAGAGCAGACTGGGCTCTGGTTTCAGACAGAGGGTGAAAAGAGGTGCTGCAGCACAGACAGTATGAGAACAATAAAGAGCTTTTTGAACATTAAAGCATGGAGACATGTCCCAGTAGAGACACTATTATGAACCTGAAAATTAGTATATGTCCTCTTTCGGCAACTTACATACCTAGGGGAAAAATTAGGGGTCAAGAATTTGGATCAAGGTCACTACAAAATGCTGACAAACAACCTGATATGTTGGGGAAGTCTCTGTTTTAAAGACCTCATTATGTAAAATAGGTCTCTCTCTCTCTCTCTCTCTCTCTCTCTCTCTCTCTATCTCTCTCTCTCTCTCTCTCTCTCTCTCTCTCTCTCTCTCTCTCTCTCTCTCTCTCTCTCTCTCTCTCTCTCTCTCTCTCTCTCTCTCTCACCCCCTTCAGACATGGCCTGTGTAGCCATAGAAACGGACACGTCTCCTTTCATCAGCAGCCTGTCTCTGAGCGGCTCAGAGGACACACTGGGCAAGAAACTCCTGCTCAAACTCAGTGAGTCACACACACACACACACACACACACACCTATTCACAACCTTTTCTATGCCTCACAATGTATGAGCTCTCGCCTGCTTAGTATTCTCATGAAGTTTCTGAAAGAGTTCCAGTTGTTGGCTCTATAGATGGAAAGCATAGTTTATAATAGTTTATAACTAATCACCCTGCCAGTGATGCAAAACACAGCTCTAAACTTTCAACTTTAACCTCTTTACATCTTTGAAGAGACTATGTAAAATAGCCTCTTGGCAAACTCTGGCGCATGCAAAGAAATGTGTATTAATGTCAAATAAACGTATTTAAAGAAAAGAAAAGAAAATAAACAAATAAACAAATACAAATAAATTAATAAACACATCAATAAAAAATCTATTAATGGCTAAATTAATTTATAAATAATACATTAACGGGGACCTATCATGCAAAATGCACTTTTGTACGTCTTTTATACATGAATATGTGTCCCCGGTGTTCCAGGGAACTCACCAAGTGTCAGAAAACACAACCCTCTCTATTTTCCTCCATACCCAAATCTCTAAAAAAGGGGCTGCAACGGATCTGATAAAAACTGATCCAGATTTGAACACTGTCCTGACGTCAGGGCGGTGGCCCTACGGCTATTGGGCCAACTCTCCACCTATCAGGGGAATGTGGGGTTGGGCCACGGCCGGCCATTGCCGCTCGAAAGCGCTGGAGACGCTGTAGTACATATGCCAGGCCTGTAAGTGGCGCTGTAGTCTGCCACAAAAGCAGCGAAGAAGACTTCCCGCCCATAGTTACCATGGTTACCCTTCTGTTTATTCTCCGCTGTGGCTTTTTTTTCGAGGCAAGCACTGTAATTCTCTCCGGTTAGTCCACCAGCAGATGACAAACACCCACCTCTCCGCCTCTTCCAAGGAACGAGGGGACCGTGCGGCAGAGTTTCAGTTTCAGTTTCTTTCGCCGGTCAAGATGTCCGTTAAAGTTTAAATCTTCCGGACAAAATTAGAAAAGTGCCGGTCAAAGGTCTTCTTTGTTATTTATTGAGCTTTAAAACAAATGAATAACGACTCTATATAATAAAACACGGAGGACGGAGATCTCTTTTTCTCCCCCTCTTCTGACAGCCCAGCAGCTGATCAGAGCACGGCTCCCCTCTCCTGCAGGGGGGCGTGGTCAGCAGAATCAGACCCGTAGACAGCAAACAGCACATAGAGCGAAATGAGGCATGGCTAAAATGCATGATCTGTTTGGTATTTTGAAAACAGAAACGTATAAATATACCTTATATAGGTATGGCCCTACAATATATCATTTAAATATAGCATGATAGGTCCACTTTAAGTTAATTAAGTTATTAAATTAAAACAATAATAAGTGGATGAATTAATGTTATACTGGGCACGTTTTATTTGAGTAATTTGTCAAATATTTATTGTACTTTGTTTTTGTGTATTTATATTTCTCGTAAACCTAAAAGTTTTAATTTTCAATTTTTAACCTGTCTCGTCTATTTCAGGCCACAGGAAGAGGAAAAAATCCCGGGAAGGAGAAAAGACACCAGAGGACATTTCATAACAGCCGCTTGTGAAAACCTAGTAGAGAGAGTGTGTGAGTGTGTGTGAACTCCACCGTCTCCTGATGGTTCTTTAAGATGTTTGTAAAGACGATGTGGTTGGTAAACTACAGCTATCAGAGTTTTATCTGAAAAAAAACACACACCCCCGCTGTAGGAGATGAAGTGGTCCATCAGCAGGAATGTACTGAACACATGGATGGAAGAAACCATTTAAATCAAAACAGACGGGGGTCGCATCTTTGGCAATATGCATCGAACTGAAGCTTCTTCACAGGTTTTTCATGCTTGTATATAAAGGAATGACTTTGAATGTATAATGTTTGTAGAAAGATAATAGTTTTTATACACTATATACCCTCCTCATGCAATCACCTCTCTAATGAAGCTAAAGGGAATAACTGTACACAGGAAACGGATGAAAGACACCAAAGATGTTGCTGTTTTTGTACAACGCTTCTCATCGCTCAACAGAAGTAAACTGCATTGTGTTCATGCTTTTAATTTTTGCTTGTTTCTCTGCTAGAGTGGTGCACTGATTATATATTTTTGTAGGTTGACCCGGAAGACAGCATCTCCCTGGTTCCCTCGACAAAAAGCCAATGGGATTTGAGAAAATAATCTATGTGTCAAAGAAACATTTATGAGGATAATCTCCAAATATTAACACCACTTTATGATTCTTGAAGTAAAAAGCTAACTTTAGGCTATAAAGGAACTACAGCACGGTCACATGACTTCACGTCACCACCGCTAAGCTAAAGAAGGCTAATGTTGGGCTATAAAGGAACTACAGCATGGTCACATGACTTCAGGTCACCACCGCTAAGCTAAAGAAGGCTAATGTTGGGCTATAAAGGAACTACAGCACGGTCACATGACTTCACGTCACCACGCTAAGCTAAAGGTGGCTAATGTTGGGCTATAAATGAACTACAGCACGGTCACATGACTTCAAGTCACCACCGCTAAGCTAAAGGAGGCTAATGTTGGGCTATAAAGGAACTACAGCACGGTCACATGACTTCACGTCACCACCGCTAAGCTAAAGAAGGCTAATGTTGGGCTATAAAGGAACTACAGCACGGTCACATGACTTCACGTCACCACCGCTAAGCTAAAGGAGGCTAATGTTGGGCTATAAAGGAACTACAGCACGGTCACATGACTTCACGTCACCACTGCTAAGCTAAAGGTGGCTAATGTTGGGCTATAAAGGAACTACAGCACGGTCACATGACTTCACGTCACCACCGCTAAGCTAAAGGTGGCTAATGTTGGGCTATAAAGGAACTACAGCACGGTCACATGACTTCACGTCACCACCGCTAAGCTAAAGGCGGCTAATGTTGGGCTATAAAGGAACTACAGCACGGTCACATGACTTCACGTCACCACCGCTAAGCTAAAGGAGGCTAATGTTGGGCTATAAAGGAACTACAGCACGGTCACATGACTTCACGTCACCACCGCTAAGCTAAAGGCGGCTAATGATGGGCTATAAAGGAACTACAGCACGGTCACATGACTTCACGTCACCCCCGCTAAGCTAAAGGAGGCTAATGTTGGGCTATAAAGGAACTACAGCACGGTCACATGACTTCACGTCACCACCGCTAAGCTAAAGGCGGCTAATGTTGGGCTATAAAGGAACTACAGCACGGTCACATGACTTCACGTCACCACCGCTAAGCTAAAGGTGGCTAATGTTGGGATTAAAGACGTTTAGCAGTCTCATTTAGACACAACCACCATTTTTAAATTCACCAGTGGGGTATTTACTTACTAAAAACCATTGACTTGTAGGCGAGGGAACAGGAAGTGCTGATATGCTAACTCATCTTTGGTTTTAGGACTTATTCCTGCACCACTCTGTAATCTGAAGTATCTGACTGATTGCCCAAATTGTTATTAAGCAATGACCAGGCTGGATTTGTTTACTTGTTTGTTTGTTGTTTTTTCTTTCTTCAGTTTTGCTTATTCTTCATGGAAAAAGTCGTCAATATAACGCCTTCACTTATACAGAAACTACTCACCCATCGTTCCCATTATCTTAGCTTTCTCTTTTGAAGATAGCAATGTCATTCCCCTCTTTCTCTCTGGACCTCAGAGGGCCATCAGACTGTGTCGCAGATAAAGACAGATTAAAGATGCCGGTCTGAATACAGATTCCTGTTTTAATCTTGGGTCAGACTTTTATTACATTTCAGTTTTATTCATCACACGATGTGCAGCCACTGAACCTCTTCAAATACGTTCCCGTAGCTAAGCCCTGTAGATCCATATGAATAATTACTGATTTATCTGGGGTTGTTTTTATTATCAGAGGTGAAATGAAAGTGGTCTTCTGACTGTGGCGACTTCATAGCCATTGTTTTATTGGGTTTATGAAGCCAGCATCTTCCATATTAACTAGAGGCGTGTGGTGCAGTGGGATGTGCGTTGGTGTTGGGATCAGGGGGTCACAGGTTCAAACCCCACTGCAGTCAGCATGTCGTTGTGTCCCTGGGCAAGACACTTCACCCCAAATTGCTCCTGTGGGGATTGCCCACAGTATTGAGTATGTAAGGATAAAAGCAAGTAACATGTAATGTAACTAAACTGGACACACATATCATACTATTGTATCCTCACCATCAGGTTCTCCATAATCTACCACCATGTATGTTGATAATGTAGAAAACTAGGTTAAGCTTGACACAACACTATCATAGCCGTGTTTTTTTTCGAATGTTTTTATTCAGAAATGTCCCATTTTTACTGTATGTTACGTTTGATTTGAGCTATTTGATCACCACATTTGAAACTAAAATCAAAGAAAGTGAAAGAAAAGTCTACAATTTAAGATGTACTATCCAGAATAATTAATATTCATTTAAATATATATTCCCTTTGCCCTCCTGCTGCATGAATTTGAATGTGCATTGAAGGGGTTATTTATATATATTATGGGTTTACTCTTTGAATGCAATCTAAGCCTTAACAGCAACGTTTTTGCAGCATGATTTAATGCTAACAAGAGTCCAATAGAAGGGGGTAGTGCTTTAAATTGGGGTTGAATCCTTTTTATACCAAACTTGACTGCTCTTTCATTATTGCTGCACATGTTAACTGCAATACTGAAAACACTTAATGCAATGTATATGTGAAGAGCACTGCAGATTGTGGGGGAAAACAATGAACGAGAGTCTGTAGAGTTTTTATTTGACACCAGCTTATTTAACTTATTACTGTATATTAGAGATTGCAGACCTCCTCGATGCCATATTTTGACATTTTAACAAAGATATTTTGTGTATGCGCCCAATATGTCGGCTCCGCTTCAAAGTGTTATTGTTTCTTTTTTCACTTTAAAGGTCCCATGTCATGGCCATTTCTACTGATCATAATTCCATTGTTGAGGTCTACTAGAATAGATTTACATTGTTCAATGTTCCTAACTCACATTGGTTTCTCATACAGCATCTCTGTATAGTATGTGCATTCACTCTCTGTCCTAAACGGCTTGTTGGAGCTCCTGCCCCCCCCCCCCTCCCTATGAGCCCACTGTGCTCTGATTGGTCAGCTCGCCCACTATGTTCTGATGAGTCCACCACCGTTACAGCGGAACATCAGTGATTATGTGTTACAATGGCGTTTGTTAGCAACCAGAAAATGACACCAGTAATGACAAACAGATGAGAATGCTGCATGGGGTCTGGGTGCCGTGTTGGCGGGACGTTGCGGGGCTCGCTGCTGGAGCGGACAGTGTGAGCTGGCTTACTGGTGTCGTTTCCTGGTTGCTGCGGGGGATCTGCGAGACAACGAGACACAGCGAAACCCAGCCTGAACCCAGCCTGAGCACACACACACACCTGCAGCCTGGCTGTGAGTCTGCATGTGTGCTCAGAACGAGCCCAGGCCGAGCCCGGGCCGAGCCCAGGCCGAGCCCCGCCGCGTCTCGCCGTCTCAGGCTGAGTTCAGGCTGAGTTCAGGCTGAGTTCAGGCTGAGTTCAGGCTGAGTTCAGGCTGAGTTCAGGCTGAGTTCAGGCTGAGTTCAGGCTGAGTTCAGGCTGAGTTCAGGCTGAGTTCAGGCTGAGTTCAGGCTGAAAAATCCGCGGAGCTGCAGCTGAGAAAAGATTGAGTGTGTGTGTGTGAGGAAGTCCGTTACATCACTATACCCAATACGTCACTGTACTTACTATACTATAAGAAGAAAACAATGGAAAAAGAGAAATCTCCAACGAGGCGTTCTGGGGCAGCATAGACAGGTATTTTCTGTGTTAGGGTTTTACTCGCTACAGGGTGTACTTTGAGGGTTTGTGATGCATAAAAAGCTACATAACACACAAGGGGACGGTTAATAACCGGAAAAGCATGACATGGGACCTTTAATATACGTTGGCCCACAGGTGCAAACGGCCCAAAACTCTTCCATTGGGAGAAACGTGCAGCAGCTTAAAAAACGATGCATATATAAAATGCCAATTGTGCCAAAACACATGCAAATGAAGCTTTTAATAAAAACAGTGGAGAACCGAAACACTACACTACTCTGTTGGCCGTCTCATAAGCGTCAATATATTTGAAAATCTGCATGTGTTTTGGCACATTTGTGTTTTTATATTTGCATAGTTTCTGAAGCTGTAGCGAGTTTCTACGATTGGAAGTGTTTTGGGCGCATTTAGACCAAATCGGCCTCGAACGTGACATTTTCACAAAGGAAATCTAAGACATTTTACACTAGGAATAGCACATGTTTAAACATTTTAATAATGGCTGAATTATATTCAATTGTTTAAAATGAAGGGTCCTTGTACCATGACATTTCCCTCTCTGTCATGACTTAATTTGATGCTTGACAGATGTGGAAAAGCTCCATTGTGGCTTAAATGTCTCTAATTGACTTATTAATTCTGTACAAACAAAGGAACATCATTCAACACTGAGCTGAAGGTTTATTTAGACTAATGTGTTAATCTATTTGATCCCAATGAATCAACTTAGAATGAACATTTTTTGGACGATTAAGGGGGAACTACTGCATTAAAGAATATTTTTTTATATTATAGTGGCTGTTATTAAAATATATGCTCCTTGGAAATCCTTACAGCATGGACACGGAAAACAACAGGAGCTGATACACCTTTTGATTTTGTGGATTTAATGCCTCGTGCTTTAAATTTGTATTTCTATTATCTTTTTTTTCTACACTGATAATCCCTGTAAGATGATAGTGTGATAATTTGTGTCTGATAATTGTCCACACTGGTGAAATACAAGATAATATTGCACTTTGTCTCAGGAAATGTATTGTAAATAAAAACAGATTGAAGGTTTTTATGGTTGCAGTGTGATGTCTTTCTACCCAGAATGCTTCACTTCTCTCTCTCTGTATGTGCACTGTTTCCCAGGAGCTGCAGCAAACTGGACTTTATTTCTGTCTACACGGCGTTAAAGGGACGGGCGTGGCTCTGAGTGAGAGTGCAGGGTCAGATTTGTGGCAATGCAGCACAGAGAGGGAGGAGGAAGCAGCTAGAGGTCTGAAGTCTCTGGTCTGACCGATATAGAAAGTGTTATTGACCTAATTTATGAAAAGCCGGTCAGAATAATCAATATAATTACAGTTTCCACATGAAATAACCTGCTGCATTGCTGTTACATTTCATTTTGGCGGGTCACCTGCACTCCAGAGCGGTATATTGTTTCTTTAGAGGTTTCCTATAATAAT